CTTCTTTCTGCAAACACTTGATTTTACTATGCAACATTTCAACTTCTCTACTGTACTCCTTTTTGTCTGAATTCATTTTATTGCGCAATTCATTTCCGTTGTAAAATGTTTGGCTTTCAATTCGGTTATCTAATAAATAAATTGTAAATTACTAGTACATGAATAGTACCTGCAATTAAAGTTGAGTGCATAAATACAGAATACAAACGTTGGTATAAATGTTTTTCACTGTCCTGACAAATTGTTTGTACTACAACAAAGTGTCTTTTGTCACTATAGTAGGTAAATAAAGAATCAATTAATTCATTCATGTAATGTAGTAATATTTAAATTTTTACTTTTAGATAACAGTCATAAATGCTCTATAACTAGACAATCGCAAGGTAAAGGTAGGTAAATAAATTTAACTGAATGCAAAAACACAAATTAAAAATTTATGAAATACATTTACCAGCTGGTATAGATGTTATAGGACAATGTGATGAAATCACCGCTAGTTTTTTTAATGTTTTCACAATTGGTGGCTTACATTCTTTTGATGCTAAGGCTGGAGTAATACTTGGTAACCTGATATCTAAATGTGATCCTTTATCTGTCATAATCTAAAAATGAAAAATAAAATTAATTTAACAGTTTTAGTTGCAAAAATTAATTGTTCTACTTTATTGTTCATAGAGTAAAGTTTAATGGTTATATCTTTTGCAACTAAAGTAGCTAATACAGTGCCTAAGTATGTTTCTTTCACAAACAAATATTCTAATGCTGATCTTTGCCAAAATATATATCGACAAGTTGTTGCAGCAATTACTGAAACCTGGAAGAAGTTAATATTAATAATAAATCATATTTTTGAAAGACAGATAAAATCCACCTTAAATTTGTCTTCGGAAGACCCTCTGCTTTCAAATTCAGGAGAATCCAAAAAATCACATGGTCCTATGGGATGCAAAAGTTGATGATCTTGGAGAACATTTGCTTTTCCGGACATAAGCAGTCCAAGTCTATCAGTTTTTGTAATGTTTTGCATAGCATAAGCCTCACCTATGTGTAAAGTAACAATCTGAGCAAATTGTTCACTCACCAATTTCTTGAATTGAATTCTAGTTATCTATATAATTAATGAAATCAATAATAAATAACAACACATACTTATAATGAGAATGTGATATTGTTACACTCTATTCCATTTAAGAATAATATGAGTGGTGAATGAGTAATGGTCTCAATTCATACATGTATTATGATCAAGGCCGTAACTGGTGGGGGATCCAGGGGTCCGGACCCCCCCCCCCTCGAAATTTTTAAAAGTAGAAACATTTTAGCGGTGAATATTGTTTAACTATACTAAAACTATACCTAGAAAAAATGTTAG